CCCCAAAACCCCAAAACCCCAAAACCCCAAAAGTAAAGAATAAAACGAATTGATCTGCTCATAACAATTACAATTAAATATTTTCAAATAAATTTAATAGAAACTTGACTATTCCTCATTTCAAAACAACGTTCTAAATTTTCTACAATATATATATTCTGATTTCATTTACTCACAATGTCAATTTCTACATCTTATTTTAATCACTATGGTCAAATTAGAAATGAAAATCAGCAATAGCTGAATTGTTTTTATTACTACTCCAACTTTGTTATAAATTCTCAAGCACTTCATCAATGTCATCAAGACTATCTATGTAGTAGTATTCTTTTTAAAGAGACTCATCCTAAACATTTTTCTTTACCATCTAGAAATCTCTAATATGCTTTATACTAACTTCTTGATTGTAGATATTCATTAGCTCTCTATGAGAAGATAAAACAGCTCCACCTAAGGCCTTATATTAACCTTTTTTGTCTTTCATAAATCCCATTTCAAAAACTTTCCAATATATGAAGGCAATTTACTCAAGCTATTCATTATCAACATTAACAGACAGACAACCTATTTTATTAAGCTTATTAGAGATATCTCTATTTGCAATGGGAATTATATGACCTAGTAAGTCATGAATGTAGTCTGGATAAGGAGAAAATTCTACATCTTAAGGTCTGCGAATGATTTATGTTGAACAATAAACTTTGTTAGAGAGTGCCTCTAGATAGTCCTAATCAGAAATCAAACCTGGGACTGGCCTTATTTTCCAGCCGTTTAGTTCATTAAAAATTTCAGAAATTTTAGCTAACTATGGAATTTGATCTTCCTAAAAGCTCAATTTCTAATTCAAGGTGTAGAAAGCATTTTGAATTTCCTCACAGGCATGATTCTGAATAATCTATCGATAGGATTAGAAAACACTCTTCCATGACTGTTACTCACATATGCTGTAATCAATAACTTTGAGTTTGCCATTTTTATGATCGTATTAACTCATTATGAATTCACATCTTTCTAGGTACTGCTTGTCATTAAATATTTGATCGAGATTTTTTGCTGATTTGATTTCTTTCATCAAGAACCTTTATTGGTTCATTGAAGGTCTGGAGATAATTTTTTGAATGCCACTTATCATCAATTCTTTATGTGCTATTTGAATGAGAAAAGTTAATCTTATTTAAGTAAAATAATTATAAAACAGTTTAGGTGAATAAATGAGCTTATTGTCTTTTAATAGTTTATTAGTACTTAGTAAAGAATGTTTAAGAAATTAAATTTTTAATAATATTTCTTAAATTTAATAATATGAATCAATTAGTCTCAGTCCAGTTTATACCTGTTCGATACTCATTATTCTTCCTGAAAAATTAGGTCATTCTAAAGATCTTCAATAAAATTATCACAAAGTTCCTTAGACTTGTCCGGCATTATAAACACAACAGCTTCATTGCCTAGTACTAGTAGACCATATTTATAGCAGATCTCATCAGATGGTTTTTTAAATCTTATATTTAGACCCAGTTTACCTCTGCATATTTTTAAATTAATTCCAAGAGTTTTCTCAATTTTTTCCATCTATTTGTGCATATATATAGCTAAGTCAAGTGAAAACAAGGCTTCATCAACATGATCTTTCAAATTCTTTGTCATTAAGTAATCCCATGTAAATAAGGGAGCATGCCCACTTCTTGAAGTTGTCAGAGTATAGTCTTACCCTCTGATGTAGATTTCTTTGAGATTATCGGAGGGCATGAGTTCCTTGTCTCTAATTAATAAAATTGATGATGGGAACGGAGATGGAATCCACTTATGTATACTAGTAGTAATGCTCTTCACCTATTCCAGAGAAAAATCAAATTAAGCATTCTTTATTTCTTCAATAGGCAAGTTATTCATTTTATTTTAGCTTGCAATATCTAATAGTCTTGCATAAGGGCCGCACCAAGCCCCATCAATATGAATCCAGTGATTTCTGTTATCTTTATAGAACTCATACGAATTCAAAGCTTCAATCACCTTTTATACATTATCAAAAGCAGAGCCAGAGGTAGTGCCAACAGTAAGTGAAAGCACAATTGGAATTCTTTAATCTGCAAATGATCTTAATAAATATTACAATACTTCTGTGTCGATTTCACCATTCTCAAGAGTAGGAACTCTTTCAGGCCACTCGATCATACCTCTTTCTTAAAGTTCCATCGGCAATGTATATCCCTTGGTTTTAGCTAATTAACTGAATGAATTCATCCTTAGATAGTAAATGCTTTTGTTCAGGGATGAGTGAGCTTGTTATGAAAAGAAAACTGCCACATCCTAGTGATCTTTGAAATACTCTCTTGCCAAGTATACTGCTTATAAATTACTCTCCGTTGAACCTGAAGGCATGTAACCCCATACTCTTTCTGGATTTGGAGATCTGTATAACTCTGAGAACCAGTGAACCACTTCTTTCTCAAATTGTCTAGTTCTTAGACTATTGTAGTCTTTATATTTTTAGAAAGAATCGCCATGGTTATTCAAGTAGTGTCTAAGGTAAGGACCCATGTGTTCAAAGTTATGGTGTCTGATAGGAAAACTGAGTTATCGAGTTGTGTGATCGTCAAATTTTTTTTGCAAATTTTAATGGAAACTTTGGAGATTTGCTCTCTCGTGATTATGGAATCTAAGCGAAGGAACAGAGTCTAATTTTTATATAGTACTTTCCTTGTTCATTTAATACTCTTATTATGCTGTTTTATTGGTTTGGTTGAAACTTTCCATATCAGCCCTGATTTATTCCTTTTCTTATATTAACTCTTTGTGACTTTTTAATTATCTTGTTCCTGATGTTTATGCACTATTGAACTCAGGAGCAAGAGAATCTATCATCTCATGATTTGAAATTGCAGTGGGAAATCTTATGAGTTTGCTAAAATATTATCTCGCTCTTTGTGTGATATTCATTCGTAAATTTAAATTATTGTCTTTTAAAAACTAAACTGTGCAATAAATGTACTAGAATAATAAAAAAATGCTTTTATATTATCAAGATTCTGTATATTTGCCTAATTTACTCCCAATTTTTTCATAAGGGGTTTTGGGGTTTTGGGGTTTTGGGG